GCAGGTCTTGGACCTAGAGGAGGAGGGTCTGTGGCCAGAACTGCTGGATAGTGGCAGGATTGAGATTTGTGTCTCTGACTGGTGAGTGTGATGATTAAAATAGCCCCTTGCTAAGCACTGACTTCATGCGACATGACCTTTTTAGGGGTGACTTAATTTAGGCCTCCTAACCCCTCCTTACAGATGAAAAAATCCGAAGCTCAGGCCGGCCATGGTGGCTCACACCTATAATCCCAGCACTTTGGGAGGTCGAGGCAGGCAAATCACTTGAGGTCAGGAGTTCAAGACCAGCCCAGCCAGCATACCTCATCTCTACTAAAAATACAAAAAAATTAGCCAGGTGTGGTAGTGCGCACCTGTAGTTTCAGATACTTGGGAGGCTGAGGCCGGAGAATCGCAGAGGTTGTGGTGGGCCAAGATTGTGTCACTGCACTCCAGTCTGGGCGACAGTGAGACTCAGTCTCAGAAAAAAAAAGAAAAAGAAAAACTGAAGTTCGGGGAGGTGAAGTGACAGCCATACTCACAGTTTTAGAAATTAGCAGAGTATACACTCTGAGCCTCTCTACTCATGCCCAAAGGGATGTGGATTGGAAAGCAGAAGATGAGATCCAATACAGAGACCCTGGGCCCAGCTCAGTCTTGTCTGTGAATGATTGAGATGTTCCTTGCCTTAGGAGGAGAAAATAGCAAAGTTGGCTAAGAGCCTAGATTCTGGAGCCAGACCTCCCGGATTCAAACCCTAACTCTGTGGCTTTGTGGCCTTGGGCATGTCACAGCATACCTCTGTTTCCTCTGTTTATAAGATAGGGATCTTGCAAAGACAATTATTACATGGCAAGCACGTAACAAGTACTTTATAAATGTGAGCATATTTTTTGAACCTCGATCCCATGGGATGGTGTATTTCAGGCCCTCAGATCATTCAGAGCTTTGCAGGAAACTGAGAGGTTAGGAAAGGGGAGATGACAGGCTGGGCACTGTTGATCATGCCTGTAATCCCAGCACTCTGGGAGGCAAAGGTGGGCGGATCACTTGAGGTCAGGAATTCGAGACCAGCCTGACCAACATGGTAAAATCCATCTCTACTAAAAATACAAAAAATTAGCCAGGTATGGTGGTGCGCGCCTGTAATCCCAGCTACCCTGGAGGCCAAGGCAGGAGAATCTCTTGAACATGGGAGGTGGACGTTGCAGTGAGCTGAGATGGCACCATTGCTCTCCAGTCTGGGCAACAGAGTGAGACTCCGTCTCGGGAAAAAAAATGGGGGCATGCAGATGACTTGCCCTGGCCACACAGCCTGAGCTTAGCAGAACCTGGCATAAGGCCCTGACTCAACTGACTCCAGAGCTTGTCCCTTTAGTGATGGTCTTGCATCTGGGGTGCATGAAGAGTTTCCAGGGGGTTTATGACCCAGATAGTTTTATGGGAGTCAAATTCCAGGTCCACTGCAGCCATCTGCCCCTATTATAAAATTAATCTGCTATAGATTACATCTGTGTGGGAAGCATCATACAATTCTCCTTCCCTAGTCTCTTTCTCAGTGTGCCCCTTCTCTAGTTTTACAAGAAAAAAACCCCTCACTACGGTGTGTGGTCCCCAGATGTAAAGAC